CACCTCAGGATTTGTTAAACTTGGTAGTCCTCGAGGAGTGGAAGAGCAAGATACCATTTCACATCTTGAAGCATGTGGAGGAGCGTGGAGAGGTTAATTTAGGGCGTGCCGCTGAGCTGGCTGATGCGTACGCCTTGCTGGTGGAGTCACTGTGCCGTAGGGAACGTGGTACTTTCCGGCATGTTAGGTCTTCCTCTGATGATAACCTTGGGGGCGTGAGTGGTAGGTCGAAAGGTCCCACACCTACCCCCCCTGATGCAACCAAGTTTACTTGTTCTTACTGTAAAAACCCAGGCCATAAGATCCAGACTTGCAAACACCCAAAGTGTCGAATTGCTAAAAGTAGTTTCCTGGATCCCAAATCCAAACCAATAGCAACCACCAATGTGGAAAGGCCCCATCAGGATCTCTTCTCTTCATTCACCTATGAGGGAAAAATTTCAATCATAGAGGGGTCTCGTTCTTTCCCTATTCGTATACTACGTGATACTGGCGCAGCACAATCTATCCTCCTGTTTAACGTTATTCCTGATATATCTACCGCATTTACTAATGAGAGTGTTCTAATTTCAGATCTCTCATCCCATTCTTCCTATCCCTTAGCTAAAGTGCACCTCCACTGTCCCTTGATTACTGGGGAAGTGCAAATAGCCATTAGGAAAGACCCAATGCCTGTGAGCGGCATTCATTTATTATTGGGTAATGACTTGGTAAGAGATCTAGTGGTTCCCAACATAAAGACAGTCGACTCTCCCTTACCTGTCAACTCCACCACTGACCTTGAAGAAACTATTCCTCACCTTTTCCCATCTTGTGCTGTCACCCGGTCACAGAGTGTGCGAAATGGGCCCTCTTCATCTAAAACCACCTCCAATATCTTCCTACCCACAGAAGATCTGTACAATAAGACCATTAGTAAGGATGAGCTCATTAAAGCCCAACAATCTGATCCATCTTTGAATATGAAAGACCTCAGTGTGGACCATTGTACATCTTCGGCTTATGACCCACCGTCCCAAGGTTGTTTGGAACGATTCCATCAAAACTTTCAAATCAATGCTAATAAACTATCTCCCCTCAACTATATAGTCCATATTCCTGATCGCAGAAACGATTCACAACTTGTTCACATTAATCTCATGAAACTTTACCTTTGATTGAAGATATAATAGACAGCATAGGCTGTACAAAATTTATCAGTACCGTGGACCTGTTGAAAGGATATTATCAAGTGGGACTCACGGATAGGGCAAAAATAATCTCAGCATTTATAACTCCATTTGGTCTTTTTCAATATTTGGTTATGGCGTTTGGCTTTTCTAATGCTCCGGCCACATTCCAGAGGGCCATCAATTACCTAATTCAGGACCTAGGTGGGACGTTCGCCTACCTGGATGACCTGGTGGTGGTGTCGGACGGCTGGGACGAACATCTGGTGCGTTTGGAGATACTGTTGGCACGACTGCAAGAGACTGGATTCACCATAAACCTGGCTAAATCTGCTTTTGGCCGGGCCTCAGTGACTTACCTGGGACATATCGTTGGGCATGGTATGGTGAGACCCAAGGACGCAAACGTTAAAGCCATCTTGTCCTTCCCCACTCCAAGGACGAGGAAGGAACTCATGCACTTCCTGGGGATGTGCAGCTACTACCGTCGGTTCTGCGGTCCCTTACATCTGGAACCAGAGGTGCGACCAGTCTTTCCACTGCCTCAAAGCCTTCCTTGCCTCCAAGCCTGTAGTCCACCCCCCTGACTACACCTTGCCCTTCCATCTGCAAATCGACGCTAGTGGTGTCGGAGTTTGGGCTGTGCTCCTACAACCCGACCCAACCACTGATGTCCTTCACCCTGTGGCATACTACTCCGCCAAGTTGAAAAAACATCAGACCAACTACTCGACCATAGAGAAGGAGGCCCTGGCTCTCGTGTTGGCAATAAAGAAGTTTGAATGTTACCTCCAGTCTTGCCCACAAACAACCCTAGTCTTCACCGACCATAACCCACTCACGTTCATCCAAACCAACAAGACCTCCAACCAGCGAATCCTCCGCTGGGCTCTCCTCACCCAGCCCTAAAATCTACAAGTCCGGCACATAAAGAGGGTGGACAACATGATTGCGGACTCCTTATCCCGAGCTCCAGTAGAAATGCAGCAGCTACTCTCCAGACGCACCAGGTGATCACTTCCTTCGCGCCCGCGCTACGGAGGTCTTTGGAGGGGGGGTGTGTTACGAACCACGCCACCAATTGTCATGATCTACCTACCCAGCACTACGAACCACGCCATCTATTGTCCCGATCTACCTACCCAGCACCACGAGCAACGCCATATAGGGACGAAAACCGAGTATGACTACTCTTGGTTACCAGTCCGGGGTTTCCCTTCTCCATATCCTGGTTGTTGCCTCACCTCCTCCAAGTCTTCTTCATAAGCTCCAGTTCGATGAGAGTTCATTTCACTCTGGGAAGTGACCACAGGATCACCTATCCTGGAAACCTATGGCACAGTGACTACCTACCGTCTTCTACAATACTCAGCCTTGCTCGTCAGCCATCTCAGCTCCGCACTTAAGTATTTGTAATCTTATATTGCCTCCCCGCGTCCACCTTGCTTCAAATTATTGTATGTTGTATAAATATGTATATACTCTTAATGTTTAGGTTAAGTATGGTTAAGGGTAAATTATAGAAAGCTGAATATTTTCTTAAGGAATTTATGGTACTTTATTATACACAACAAAAATCGCATCCTTTGTCTACCCTTTTATAGTCCGATTGTCTTTGTTTTTTTATTGTTGTTGCCTGTTGGGATCTGGGTAGACTTTTAACTACATTCTAAATCCCCAACTCGTAACACGAGGTATACCACATCATAATCGTGTCCGGCATCCACTGTCTCGAAAACAGTTGAAAATAATGTTAATAGATGTGTCAGACACGAACGCCCACTTGTGAAGCCATGTTGGGAATGATTCATCAACTTGTGCTTCCCCAGGTGATTTCAAATAGAGTTTGAAATTATTGCTTCTAGTAATTTGCCTACAATTGATGTCAGACTGATTGGACGGTAGTTAGAGGAAAGTGATCTATCTCCCTTCTTGAAAATCGGTATCACATTCGCTATCCTCAAGGATTCTGGTACTACACCCGTTTTTAATGACATGTTAAGGGCATATCAAGTTCGTCCTTACATTCCTTTAATACTTTGGCAAATATCTTACTGGGACCTGATGACTTATTAGGTTTTAGCTTGCCTATTTGTTTATTAACACCGTTACTAGTCACTACTGTCTTGCTTAATCTATTTTTTTCACTATCTTTATATAATCGGTGCCTCGGGTATCATGTTTCAATTTTCGGTGGTGAAAACTGTTGAAAAATATATGTTCAGATTATCGCTCATTTCTCTGTCATTATCAGTAAGCTCGCCGGTTTCCAACTGTATTGGTCCAATCTTTTCTCATGTTTTAGTTTTACACATTTGGAAGAACCCCTTGGGGTTTGACTACCTTTAGTTCATTATTCCTCTTCGTTTTTCTTATCTTGGTCTTAACCCTACTGGCCAAAACCTTATAATAATCTCGGAGGTAAACTTCACCACGATTTATTCTCCTACCTATAACCTTCCTTTGTCCAGAAATATTATTTAAATAATTATTTATCCATTTAGGGTCATTGTTGTTTGATCTGAGTTTTCGGTATGGTATGTTCTGCCTTTGTGCATTGAGTAACTCATTATTTAAATTGTTGTGGAACTCATCAACCTAGGATCTCGTGATCATATTTTGTGAGTGTTATCGTTGTCATGTCACCCTCTGCGGCCAGATAAATGGGGTTGAAGACCCCTGGTCTAAAATGTTGACTTCAGTCTCTCCCCACGGTGCTCAGGGAGTCTGAGCTCCAAGTATCGGTTCCATGACATTTGCTCACGAGACAGCACAAGGCATATACTCACAAGAAGAACCTAGCCTAGCTTAACCTAAGCTAACCTAACCTAACCTAATCTAATCTAATCTAATCTAACCTAACCTAATCTAACCTGACCTAACCTAACCTAACCTAACCTAACCTAACCTAACGTAAGCTAATCTAAGCTAACCTAACCTAACCTAACCTAACCTAAGCTAACCTTTCCATTAAAGTTGTGAGTATTTATCTTGTGAATATATGCTTTGTGAGCATTTGTCTTGTAAGTAAATGTCTGCACACCCCAAGTTTCAGATACATTCTGCTTATACGACAAAGTGCAAGTACTGTATATATCTCTCTCATGGCAGCTCTCAGTTACAGTTCCCGTAAATATATTTTATGTGTATATATAAATTATTAGACTAAATAAAGAACAGCGAATCGGTTGTTTCAACAAACTCCCTGCCACTTCGAGCGTAATTAAGTGACTAACTATAAGTGGCCATAACCATAGTGTTACAGCAACCTGGACATAACATCTGGTTCATCTAAATTTTTTAACTATTGTCTCATCTTCTATTGTTCACTGTATTCCCGTCTTCAGTTGTTCACTGTATTCCCATCTTCTGTTGTTCATTGTATTCCCATTTCCTGTCGCGTGTGTATTTGTGTATTTAGCATACAATTGCACTGTGCAGAACAAACAAGGTAGAGTTTGTCAGCATCACTTGAGGGCTCACGTAGAATTAGAAAATTTCGTAAGTAGTGAAGTCATGCTAAAGGAGGTGCTTCGGACTAGATATGAATTAACGTGTGCGATCATAGAAATGATTACTGGTACACAGCGCAGTAGTGGCATCAACCTGCGTCATAATTATCTTCAACAGAAAATTTATGGAAAGATAAGTTTTTCTCTCTTTAAATTAGCAAAAATTCATGATCAATTGTCATTAAATTGGGCGTCAATGTTCTCGTAGCTTTTACATCCAGTACATCATTTAACTGAAATTTATGTTTCCTAAGTGTCACACTGATGTTTCTGACAGAGAGGCCAGTAACAACAATGTACAGTACTACAAGATCAAGCTGTACGAGGCAGTCACTTACTCTGATATGTGAGTGATGTTCTCTCCTTCGGGTGGTAGGCACGTGTAGTTGACTGCTGGGGCGTAGAACATCATGTTGAAGTTCTGCGGCGGCAGGAGGAAACACCCTGTGATAAACCACAGAGGGGTTTAATTTTACACCTTCAAGTACATTCAGAAATTAGACGATTGGTATTAGTGGTGTCATGATCGGAATGACGGCTACCCTGTTAAACTAATGATCCATATTACGCTTACACGTCCACAAAACCTTCTGAGTCTCCCAGTGGGAATGGCCTCCGTTCTCCCTGTTTCTTTGATGATGTCATCGCGATGTCATATGTTTGTTGACCAATTGTAAACTCTTTCTGCTACCGAGAACTTTTTTTTTTTATTATTATTTATTGGACACTCCCCTACATCCTTGTGTAAGGTGAAGTGCAGAAGCGTTTACAGCGGCCAACAGGGAAGCATGCTAAGTTCATGCTTGCCTTTATGTCTCATGAGTTAAGAGCGTAGAAGACTGAAGAGTCAGTGGTTTATGTCGTCAAGTCATTGGAAGCTTCAACAACTCCCTGAATACGAATTCGCAACTTTCGACTTACAACAGGTACCTACTTTACTGCTAGGTGAACAGGGACTAATGGGGGCTAGGAAGTAAGTCCAAACAACTTCCACAGGCCCGGGAATCGAACCTGTGACATCTCGCTTGCGAGGCAAGAGCGGTACCGCTTCTACCACCGATCCCCCGCTACCGAGACCCTGTAAACCCTTTTTTTTTCACTTATGATTAGCAGAGACTGATAATCATAGTGAAATTGTGGTAGGGAGGTTAACTGAGGAATGAGTTGATATTCCTGGAAAGGAACCTTTTAAAATCTGCTCCTCAGGTTGTAGCAAGGCGTTGCATGTTGGGACCTGTTGCCATCCAACCTTTTGTGATCAATTTAATTCTTGCTTTTGATAGCTCAGTCAGAGCATTGTTTGTAAAGATAATAGTAGGGAATGGAACTGAGTTCGTAGTCTTAGTTTCAAACGTCAGAGTGTTACAGTAAGGTAATTCAGTGAAATGGTTGAGTAGGTGGAATCCGTAACTTAAGCATGGGTGGAAGGCGGTGGGCAGCTTGACCGTCAGTGAGCCGCTACCGCTACGCTTCCCTTCTCAGTGTTGTAATTCGCCATTTTTAAGTGATTTGACCTAACTAATAGTTTGATTGTGCAAGTGTTAAAGTAATGTAATTAATGTGCTTTGAGTGAAGTATTTTATGTCATTAATATCCCTTTGAAACGTTGAGGTTCGTTATAAACCATGAGTGAGCCACCACGCTTCCCTCCCACAGGTACCTAACGCAGCCTAGGCCGTGTCTGAAGCGTGGATGACGCATAGGGGGTAGCATTCCCCTAACGCCCTGCCCCTGTGGTGAACCTGGATCGTCAAGCCCCCAAACTACTGCAGGCCCCATCATTGGTGGATGAGTACAGTACATAACTCAGTGGGGCTGTTGGTGTGGTGGTGTTAGTCCACCGGGATTATCGGAGTTTGTTGGAAGGTGTCACTTGGTGATGAGACCCCCAGGGTGGCCGCTGGAGTATTGCCCCTGAGGTATTGAGTGTTGTACTGGCAGGTGCCACTGGTTTTATTGGTACTAAGGTGCTGTAAGAGTTTTTGTGTGTTTTGGTGTGTGTACACCCAGTAGAGGTACAAGTAAATTGAGCCTGAGGGCATGGTACCAGGAGTTCCTACTTTGGGTGCATACAACGTCTTTTCTGTAACCATTTTTGTGTTTCAATAAACAGTGTATTTGTATGAGGGTCTATGATTCACCTATAGTATTCACCGTTGTTCTTTTCCTAATACTCGATACTATAATTACATGAACCCATGGGCCTTCCTCTCACGTCACGCTACCAGGTCAGAGTATTTACGCAAGTTGTTGTAAGAGTGCCAAGCCCTCGCAGGGTGGCAGCTTGTGTTGCGCGCTCTTACAAATGGTGGCCTCAGTAGCTCAGCAAGCAGTAGCAGCCCCCGCTCTTACAGTGGGTGCTTAGAAGGATTAGAAAAAAAAGAGATAATTGTCATTGATGAGTTTGCTCTTAAGTGTCTCAGAATTTGATAAGATTAGAATCTCAGGCGCCATTAGTTATGGACACCGATTAGGTTACTGGCCCCAGCTGATAAACAGAAACCTTGGTGAAAAATGATTTTGTCAGTCATCAATAACATTCGTACAATTAATGTTGACGGCAAGGCGACTGGAGTGCTATACTTATTATAACAGGACCTTGGGAAATACTGTCTACTAGAACTACAATGATACTTTTAGAGACTGAAATGTAGACAAAATTATATTGTTTTTGAATGGTGTTGCACTGAGACGAAAACAACGCTATCGAAATACAAATCCACGAGTATAAACTTATATGCCGATGGGATAGTGCTAGAAAGCATTGTAAGCCATGACATGGCGGACCATCTACAAAGGAACAGCCCTAGGTAGCGGGAATGCCAACAAGGGTTTATGAGTGGACGCTCCAGCTTGACGTGGCTGTTGGGAGTACAGGCTGTATTGGCAAAAGATACGTTGACTGTGAAACATAACAAAACAATCTCTATCACCTTCAAACACGGTTCAAAGAATGAATGCTGATTATTGCTGAGATTCAATACTTTGAAATACAAGAGTATCGGGAAACGTTCCATTGTTCCAACATGCCGAAGATATTGCCCCAACTGAAACTACAGTAGATGTAGCGCCGGATGATTCTGAGAAGAAAATCTTACCAGTAAGGTAATAAAATTAATGCAAAGATCCAGTTCATAATTAGTCCGTCTCTCTATAAGACTTCTAAAGTGTGGTACGTCCTCACTTGGGGTACTGTGATTCTGTTTGGTCTCCAAAGTAAACAAAGATGACCAATTGATTAAGAACGTCCAAAGGAGGGTCACTTAAAGTCTAGACACTTGTCTTACCAAGATATGTTAGTACGTCATCAATTGTCCCATTAGAGGTCACACCCTTACTTTGAAGAAGCTATCAGTATATGGAAGACTGCTGGAATAAATGTTGTGAACTTTTGGAATAGCCTGCCAGACTTGGCCAATACTGGTAGTGGTACAGTTGCCAGCAAAAGTCCTCCCACAACTTGATACACAGGGTTGTGGGAGAACTTTTGCTGGCAACTTACATGTTCAAGTACTTGCCAACAGTGCGTCACCGCACGAGTGCTAGTGAGCTGACAAGGGTGCAGGGAATAATGAACTATGCAGTAAAGTATAGTTCATTTAGAGAGAACTAGACTTAAGTACCGGTAACGAGGGGGAACTCCCATAAAGGTTACGAGGAGAACGGACAGTGATAAATGTGAAGAAATACCAGGAACCGAACCACGGAGCCTTTTACTGTTCTAGCTCCATTAACTGGCCAAATCCACCTACAACCACTAGCGTAGCTAGGGGGGCGGTCCGCCCCGGGCGGCACTTTTGGGGGGGCGGCACTTTTGGGTCTGCTCATCACCCATATCTGCAGCTACTGGAGACGTTAATCCATCCCTTTGTATCGGCGGCAAGTTAATCCTTGTCGTGTCTGACCTTACACCTGACCCACATCATCACGGCCACGTCATGAGCTACACCCTTGCTATGAGGCCCCCCGCCACACACACAACCTGTAACCTGTTGAGGATTAAGGAAACAACTTCAAACAAGTACGCCAGTGAGCTCATGTGGTGTGGGTCAGGTGTTAGGTCAGACACGACGAGGATTAACTTGCCGCCGATACAAAGGGAAGGATTAACGTCTCCAGTAGCTGCAAAACCATGCAGTCTCGGGTCATATCAGTTCATGTACAGCCGACCAATCCACCAGTTACAAGCAATTCACTTCAGTTCTGCACAAGTCTCCATCGTGACAAGACGAGGGGAGGCTAGACGACTTTTAAGTTCTTTTGTGTTTTCGATCCAGTTATTTACTTCGTTGGAAGACATAATACTATAAGGTAAGAAATATTAAAGTATTGGTTAAAAAATATTGATGTGACTTTTGCTGCGGTACTGAGATTAAATATTAAGATTTTGTTTCACAGCATTGCGATTTTATACTAATACACTATCCTCACTGGGGTACAGACAAAAGCCCCCCCGACAAAAGCCACCCAGACAAAAGCCCCCCAGACGAAAGCCACCCAGACAAAAGCCCCCTACTTTGATCGGGGTGGCTTTTGTCTGACAACAGTAAGGGCTTTCAAAAGTTACGGACATAATTAAATAGTTGAGGGTAAAATATACTGTTCTTCTCTGTGGTTAATTATTGGTTAGGTTAGGGTTAGGGTTGTCAGACAAAAGCCACCCCGATCAAAGTAGGGGGCTTTTGTCTGGGGGGCTTATGTCAGACATCCATTTTCACTGTACTCTGAGTCTGTAATTTTAGATTAAGTTGCTACTTTTTACATTTCCATTGTATTACATTGATACTAGTGTCATTATATCGTGATTTTAGATCAAGCTGTTATTTTTACATTGCTGTGATTTTAATCATTTTAGATGATAATGACACTAGTGTGACAGTGTCATTATACCGTGATTTTAGATCATACTCAATAAAAGATAACGGTGAGGATTTTCCTCACAATTGCTATTAGTGTTGCTACCTGTGAGAGGAGTTTTTCGAAACTAAAACTGATCAAGAATTACTTAAGATCTACTATGAGCACCTTGCGGTTGAGAAATCTTGCCATACTGTCTATAGAGCGACAATTGACAGATGAAATAGTTTTTGACAATGTCATTGAAGAATTTGCCAACAAAAAAACAAGAAAAGTTACTTTGTAGAAAGTTGTAGTTTTCATTTCAGAAATAAAGAGGGTCCTAATTTTTTATACTTTTTTACTTTTTTCCCTATCCTATATGTCGTTTTTGCTTTTTGTTTAACTGTTACTTATAAAGTTTAAGTATGTTTGGGGGTGTATTTAAAGCATACTATATTTGAGTAAGTGAAAGTACAGTAATATTATAATGGTACACAAACTATTTAATATATATATATATATATATATATATATATATATATATATATATATATATATATATATATATATATATATATATATATATATATATATGTAAGAGTGAGTCACTGTGCGTGTGCAATATGTATTTTTGTGGGGGCACGGGGGTGGGGGGGGAGGCGGCTAACTCAAGGGCCGCCCCGGGCGGCACACACTCTAGCTACGCCAATGCCTACAACTTTAGGATTATCTGGTTAAGCTGGGCTACGAGTCGTCGTTAAGAGCAAAAGTCTAACTTGTGGTACTTTCCCAATATTGGCATCATGTGGGAGACAGACCGGGTATGATGACGGTTTGGAAACATCTAGTATGTGTAACTTAGGCGAAGTAAAGCACTGAACTGATGGAACAACATAGACAATTATAAAAGTTAGCCGATAAATAAATATATTTCGGAATGTTTTTCACTGAAGTAATTGTGGTAGGGGGAAGCATAAGGTAAGCCGTAATAAAAAAATGGCACTATTTTTTTGTGTAATACGATATGCATGTGTTATATATGCAGACTGCCGATCTACCTGAGTCAGGTAGTTAAGGGGAACCTGAGACAGAGATCCATACTGCTTAGGCTACATATAAACATTAAATGAAGTATGAGAGACAATATACCGTTTATATACAAACCAGCAGATGCACAAAACAACCATAAGAGTCAGAAATGGACGAGCATAATGTATGATATGGACACGAAGTAGTACCTTCAGCTGTGTATCCTTATATTACATAGAATTAATACATGTTCTGTAATACTTTACTATACATAATTAATGGAGTAATATAAGGGTACACAGCTGAAGGTCCATATCATACACATAATATCTATAATACAATCGCACAAGTCTTGACATGGAAGGTTGGATATTAAAGACAGTGAGGATTCGGGAGAGATTACATGCATTCTTTTTAGCGCAGTATACTGGAAAGCTAAACAGGAATAGAAACACCCAGACGTGGAAATTTATAATAGGGTAGTGTTCACTGTTGTGTCCTGGGATAAACTACCAAGGTTCGGTTAGGTTTAGATTTGAGAAACTTGTCTATGCTCGTATACGTAAAAGGTTGTTGTAGCCACTGTTAGGTTTAACTGATAAGACTAGGGGATGGGAAGGAGACAATGATAACAAGATAGCCAGTGGTGAAAAAGCACAGCGAACAGGACCACTTACCTGTACGTACTGTACCCAACAAACCTAACCAGACCTAATGATCTTGTGGTAACTTTGGCTAGGTTACACTTGGTAGTTCGTGTCCTCTGAACTCTATGATGCTTAAATGTTTTAATATTCCTGAGGTAGTTTAGGTTAAGTTATATTTTTAGGTCATGTCCTTTGATGTGTTAATGGTTTAGTGGCACCGTTCTTAGTACTCCCTTTAACACTGGTAATTTTTCAAGACTTCTATTAAATGTTAACAGGCGATGAGAAAATTAAGGAAATTATTATTACCGAAACCACCAACACCATCCAGGAACATAAAAGTTAAAAAAAAAAAAAATCTTTGTGAGATTAAGAGAGTAAAAGACTTACAGTAGCCTGCGCTGATGAAATAGATCAGGTTCCACTTGCCGGTCCCCAGCTGGGTGAGCAGCTCGTCGAACTTGTTGGTCATCATGGTGCCGTAAGAACCCCCTGAAGAAGGGAAGATTTATCAATAAAACTCCTGAGTCAAAAGAAACATAATTATATAATACAATTGTTTTTATATATTAAGATTCTATAGATCCATCGACATCTTTTTCATTTTGTTTTCATTCTTACTCAAAGGTGATGAGTTCAGTTGTTTAATCGTCATAGAAGCAGAATACAGAAAGCTGAATAAATCTTCTACGAACTAATATCGTTGCAAAAGAAAACTAATGATGGGAATATGAGTAAGTATTTTATGGGATCGAGTCGAAGGAGAAGGAACATCCACTCCTAAGGTACCTTCAATGTTGATAAATTTCTTAGGGATTTTTAGTCTTAGAGATACTGTAGATGAAATTTGGTTGAGAGGTGGAGGGGCAAGGGGATGGTTATGTACCTATCCTTCCACCCGGGGGAAGCTGGCGATAATGAAAGGATAAGGGAATTAATTAATGATTGAGTGACAATGAATGAGTGGGTGACAGGATAAATTAGTAAATAAATGGGTGACAGAATGAATTATGAATGAGTGAATGAGACAACATAGCAAATGAATGAGCGACAATGACTGAGTGAGTGAAGAAATGGGGATTTCAAATTAAAGAAAAACGATAAATAAACTAAGTATGGGAAGGAATATTTAAGAAATCTGAAACGTGTGACACCAAGGGTATGATGAACGTCTTTATTTCCTTGACCTCAGATGTTTCGAAGACTTATTTGCTTCAATCATGAATGAGCCTCTTAAAGTAACCACTATAATAATTATATAATACATAGTAAAAAAACAAACTATGATCAGTAAGACTCTGTATTCATGTTCAACTATAGTGCAAATTCAGTACTATTCATGTTCAACGAGTGTAAACTGAGTACTATTCATGTTCAACGAGTGTAAACTGAGTACTATTCATGTTCAACGATAGTGCAAACTCAATACTATCCATGTTCATCGAGTGTAAACTCAGTACTATTCATGTTCAACGAGTGTAAACTCAGTACTATTCATGTTCAACGAGAGAGTAAACTCAGCACTATTCATACTTTTACTTTTGCTTTTATCCTCTTGATCACTGATCGGCTCGGTAGCCGCTTGGGCGATCGGTCACGTCTCTGTTATGCACTGTTGGCAAGTACTGGGCATGCACTGGCTCCTGAATGTATCTGAACCTGCTCCAATGCTTGTCAAGTCTGGCCTTGAAAGAGCTCACACTCGGTGCCGTCACAACACACTCAAGCAGATTGTTACAAGAGTTCACACCTCTCACTCCGAAAAAGTTACCCCTCACAGTTTTCTTGACTAGTGGCTTCTCCACCCTTGAGCTGTGACCCCTTGTGGGGCGAACGTCCGCCAGTTCCAGGTAAGGACACTCGACTGAGTAGTGCCCTTTCAGATGTTTATACACTTCAATTAGATAACCCCATTGCCAGCCTGTAACATAAGCTAGGCTATTGCAGGCGCTCTAATCTCTCAGGGTAGCTGAGATCCCGAAGTGCAGGCGCCAGTCTGGTGGCCCTTCTTTGGACATTTTCAATTAACCTGACAGTCCCTAGCATTTCTCGGGGACCAGACGGGGTGACAGTACTCTAGACGGGGAAGCACATCACTCTTGAAGATCGTTCCGAGTGATATCTGAACGGCCTTCTTATAAGACCTAATAATTTAGTTGCTTGATTCACCTTCTTCTCGCAATAGGCCCAATAACTTCAGCTCCTTGTCAACATACACACCAAGATCTTTTTCACCTCCAGTCTTAATCAACACAGTTTCTTCGTCCCGTTGGGACATATGATACGCCTCCTTAACGTTGGTACTTCCCAGGTGCAGCCTCTTACAATTCGTGACATTGAATCTTAGCAGCCATTTCTTCGACCATTCTTGAAGCTCACAGAGATCCTTCTGCAGCTCTTCACAGTCTACTTGGTTCTTAATTTCCCGAAATAACTTGGCGTCATCCGCAAACATTTGTATTGAGGAATGTATAGCATCAGGCATGTAATTTATGAAGCAAACAAATAACAACAGGCCCAATGCACTGCTCTGTGGTACCCCACTTGTGACGGATGTAAGGGCGGGGGCACGCTGCCACCATTGTAAGGGCGGCGGATCTCTACTTCATTGGTTGTCTACATATATCACTTCATGGTTACTTCATAACTTCAGTTCTTTTGGTAGCATGGCGAGGGTCTGCACATTGTAATTCTGGTATCAAGGTCACTTGGACAGAATAAAGGTGGATACTGGGAAAAAGAGATGAATACCCCCAATATACTCTAAGAAATGTTGTATTAATATGAAATCAAAGTAGGGAAAAAGATGTCATTAACATACAACTCCAAGGTGCAACTCCTCGGCTTTACTCAACTGCAATTCACTTAGATACTGTATTCTTACTTCTCACAACCTTACTGGTGTTACATTACATACAGCTACAAAGATCAACTCCTTGGCTTCTCAGCTGCAACTCCAATCAGATATTCTCGCTTCTTACAACATTACTGGTGTTTCATGGCATCACATTACATTACCAGGCAAACATACATCTGATACCTTCACTAGACTGTTGTTAGTACCTATGAAATGCACTCACAACACACAACACGTTATTGCTGATACAAACAAATTACATGGGTTCACTACCCAACAATAATTATCCCCAATCATATACAACAAACACTGTGGACCATATAACTGTACGGCGTGCCCCAGGGTAGGACACTGGCGTCTCACAACTGACGACCGCTGTTATGATTGTTGGTAGTCGATCACGTGGCGAGAGTCTGGGGTCTAGCCCCCACGATGCATGGAGCAAATTAATCCTGCCTAATCGGCGACATCGTCCATTACAGCTAACAGTTAGGTAGCCACCGACTCCGGGCAGCCGGTGGGGTGTACAAATAACCCACAAATTTGGAGAGCGTCACGGGAGGGGCTTCTGATGATGATAATCAAGTAAAGTGGCACATGACTTTGCACTCCTCCATGACATGACATGAAATGCTAGTGACAGGGGGAAAGGAGGTTCAGGGGAAGAATAAAGAACATAAGAACATAAGAAAATAAGGAGTCTGCAATAGGCCGGTTGGCCTGTGCATGGCAGCTCCTGTCGAGAGTTACTACCACTCTCTATCATCCATGAATCTATCTAGCCTCCTTTTGAAACTTTCCAGAGTTCCCGCACTTACTACAAAGTTGCTAAGCTTGTTCCACTCGTCCACCACCCTATTTGTGAACCAGTTTCTTCCTATCTCCCCCCTAAACCTAAACTTATCCAACTTGAATCCGTTGCTCCAAGTCCTATCCTGCTCGGATATTATAAGAACTTTATCTATATCCCCTTTATTGATTCCTTTCACCCACTTAAATACTTCTATCATATCTCCCCGCACTCTTCGTCTTTCTAGGGAATGCAAGTTAAGTTTCTTTAACCTATCCTGATATTGAAGGTTTCTAAGTCCCGGAATCATTTTTGTCATTCTTCGCTGCACCGACTCTAGTGAATTTATATCCATTCTATAATAGGGGCACCAGAACTGAACCGCATAATCTAGGTGCAGCCTGACTAGCGCA